GAACAAGGAAAATGGCCCAATGATCCAAAGACCAAAGATGTCTGCCAGCCATCTGGCAGAAAGTGCAGCTCATGCCACTCCTTACCTCCCAGACTGCAGCCTCCTTGGTCATTCACTTGATCTTGTGAACATCTGCAATCCAGCCACCTTTCTCTCATCCCACCTGCCTGGGAGCCTGACCCAGCCTCTCCTTCACACTGGACCCTGAATTCTCTCCTCCAAGCCACTCTATCCAAGAGCCACAGGCATCTCCCGGCCTAAACCTTTCCATGGCTCTGCAGCACCCCGGGAGTCACTTCCAATTTCAGGACAAACTTTGGTCATGCTCTGCAGGCTATGCCCTCCCCACACCTCCTGCCTTCACTCCAGCCAAATGAACTTGACTCACTTCCTCAATTACATATGCTCTTGGTTATCTCTGGGCCTTGGTCCTCATGGTCCCTTTGCTTAACGTTCTTTTTCCCTCTACCCCCCCAGCTAACACTTCTTCAAGTCTCACCTCATCAAGAAGGCCTTCCCTGAACCCCCAGCCTGGTTGAGGTGCCTCTCCTAAGCTTGTCTAGCTCTGCACACAACCCCCATTAGAGCCAACTCCTGAGCTGTCACCATCTGTTGACAAACTTGTCTCTCTCACAGCACCGTGAGTCCGAGAGGGCAGGGTTCCCTTAGGTATTGTGTGACCCACACCATACTGCAGTGAACAGTAAATGTGAGAACAGCAAGAGAAACTCCTGTCCTTAAGGGACTGGAATACAGGTGACAGGAGATCCAGGCCCACCCAGTCTCCTCTAGCACCTCACACACAAGTGCGCACATACCCTCCATACCCACAGTGCTCACCATGGGCTTGTCGTAGAAGGGGAAACCCTGCATGGAACGCAGGGCGTTGGTGGCGCTGCTGACCTCCTTAAAGATGACAAAGGCTTGGCCCCTCATCTTCAGGCTCCGTGACACCAGGATATCCAGGATCTGGCCAAACTGGGAGAAGATAGCATACAGGGACTTCTTCAGCTCTACAGTGAGGGGAAGAAAGATCCATGGGTGACTAGAGGCCTTGGTACCATGCCTGGGTCTTAAGCTCCCGTTTTCAGTAAAAAGTGTAGCCCAGAAGGGAAACATCAGCCAACAAAGAATGCCCAGAATACCATGGGTCAGCAATCCTACAAGAGCCAGCAGTAGGGGGCGTACAGGAGGCAGTCAATCAATGACTCTCTCTCATCATTGATGTTTCTATCTCTCTCTCCCTTTCCCTTCCTCTCTAAAATCAATAAAAAAAATTTTTTTTTGAAAAAGAAGCACTGCATGGAGGCTTAGCTAATTTAATCCCTGAAACATCAATGCAAAGAATGTATTGTGATTTTTCCCAGTTCTTAAATATAGAGAATGAGGTTCAATAAAGGTGGTAACGTGAAGAAAATGAAAAGGTATGTCTGATGTCAAGAATTGGGTTTGGCCCTGGGCAGTTTGACTCAGTGGATAGAGCGTCAACCTGTGGACTGAAGGGTCCCAGGTTCGACTTTGGTCAAGGGCACATGCCTGGGTTGCGAGCTCGATCCCCGGTAGAGGGTGTGCAGGAGGGACCAATCAATTGTTCTCTCTCATCGTTGATGTTTCTCTCTTCCTCTCCCTTCCTCTCTGAAATCAATAAAAACATATTTTTTTAAAATAATAATAATCGGGTGTGCCCTGGCTGGTATGGCTCAGTTGGTTGGAGCATCATCCATTACACCAAAAGGTAAGAGTTTCGATTCAAATCAGGGCACATATGGAAGGCAACTAATTGATGTTTCACTCTTACATCGGTGTTTCTCTCTCTCAAATCAATGAACATGTCCTCGAAGATTACAAAAGAAAAGAATAAGTTCGTAAGCAGAATTACACAGTGGTGACATCAAATATTTTTCTTTACTGTGTGACCCTGGGCAAGTTTCCTAATCCGAGAAATGGGAACAATAACTTCCTGTAGAGTTGTTGTGAAAATTAAATATAATTAAGACGTGTATCAGCACCTGGTATCGAGTGTTATGCATCATTATTCATTTCATTTTGAAATGAAACATTGTCATTGTGGGCTGTTCAGTGAAAACACGACACTGACTAAGCCAGCCCCAGTTCTTGCTCTCATGTAGCTCACAGGCCAGTGGAGAGACAGCGCCCCAACAGCCCAGAACCATCAGGGCTTGGGATGTGGGAGGAGGCAAGGCCTATGGAAATCAGGCATCTGAGGGGAAAGAAGATGGGGAAGGCCTCCTGGGGGAGGGGTCCTTTAAGGATGAGCAACAGTGACCAGGTTAATGGACAGAAGGGAAGATGAGCTAGAGGAGTGTTAAAGCAAGAGGAAGCAGCATGTGCAAAGACGGAGGAGTTAACTAGTATTTCGCCTGAAAGAGATGGCTGCAGAAGTAGATGCTGGGGATGAAAGAGGGGCCGGCCCGTGTGAGACAGCCTGGAGTCTGGTCTCCTTCGAGAACTCACCATCCTTCTTGATCTTCTCATTGAGGTTGTTTATATAAATAGTATGGTTGGGTCGGGTCTCGGGAACTGCCATGGAGGGAGGTGCCGCGGTAGGGCTGAAAGAAGGAAAAAGGTAACCTCAGCCCTGGGTCTCTTAAAATCCTTTGACCGAAAGCGGGCTTAACAGGCTCCCCGGGATTTTCCTTCCAGGAAGATGTCAGGTGAGCCGAGGAGGAGGGAAGCCAGGAGCAGTTTGGAAAACAAAGCGAATGCAGGACACCACTTCTCCCGCGTGGTGAGGGGAAATGTCGAGGTTTACTCCGAGTCCCAGGATGCTCTGCGCGACTTACTAGACAGCGTACTAAGCGGTGATTCCCATTGGCCCACGCGCTCACAGGGCGGCCCAAGAAAAAGAACCCGGATGTAAGCGCCAGTTAAACGAGGGGCGATTTTGTGGTGCCTTGGCCGCGCGCAGCAGGAAAATAGTTTCTCCACACGAGGTAAGGGAAGAAACGGACGCCAAGCGCTCCGCCCGCCCGCAGAGGCCGCCTGCGCCCGCCTTTACTTACCAATGGCGCTACAGGTCCGGCTAGTGGCTGCTTCTGCGCTTCTGAATGCCCAGCGCGAAGCTTTCTTTGCTGGCTCCGCCTTTATCGTGCTGTAAGCCAATCCCCGCGCGGAAATTTGGTAGCTTGACCAATCAGAGTAAGTCTCTCCCGACTTTGCCAATCAAATCTCGGGACAGATCTCGACAATCTCGACCCAAAATTTGCCAATCAAGAGGGCACTTGAGGTTCCCGCCTCAGGAGAAAAACTCCGCCATTCCCCGCAAGCCTTCAGGCCAATCAGTGAAGAGTGCGTTCCTGGCCAATAGGGTCGCGGCTCGCGCGGCGGTCTCTTCGGAGGCGTCCTCTGGAAGCCCCACCTCTCCCCTGCGGGCCTGCGCTCTGTCACGTGGTCTTTAAAGGGGCGGGGACCCACGAAAGACCTACAGGTCCGACGGGAAAGGCTGTGGGCGACCGCCGCCATTTTGGGGAAGGGAAGTGCGCTGTACTTTCTGATTCCATTCCTGATCCCACCGGGATCGCGGCTCCCGACGGCCTCCGAGCTCTGAGCCTTCCCTGTCCCACCACAGGTTTTTCCTGTTGTGTTCTGACTCCAAGACCTTCTCCACAACTAGGCCATTTTTCCTGCCTGGTGTCCTTCTGACCTCTTGACCTCTGACTCAGAGGTCAGCTCCAAGGTTCCAAACTCCGGCCTGGGATGTGAGGGGGGACTGAGCCTAAATTCTTACCTGGCCTTTAGCCTTGGGCCTCTAAATCCCACCCTTTAGGTGCCTCACCCCAGGTCTTCACATCCCAAAACGGACCCAAGTTTCCAAACCTAGCAACGAGTAATAAATTAACTACTACATCTCCCTCTTTCAGCCTCGCAACCCAACTGCATACCACAGATCTGGTTCCGAATCAAAGGACCCGCCCTGTTATCCCAGAGCCTCCGGATTGGAGTCAGTCCCAATCCTCGCTCCCATGGTCCCAAATTTAGCTCCGGTTCTCTCCACCCCATTGCGCGGCCTCCCGCTGCCGGGCCTCCGTCCGAAAGCCGTCAACCTCTCCGTCCCCGAGCCCGGCCCGTTTTGAAGGGTCATTCTCTCCCCCATCCTCCCAGCCCATGCCATGGCCTCCGAAATGACTTCGTGCTCTTCCCCGCGGGAGTCCCCAGTCCCTCCTTCAACCCCGGCGCCCGTCACCCCACCTCCGCCCCTGCCCCCACG